TGGGTGGATGGACGGATGGATTGATGGATGAATGAATGAATGAATGAATGAAAGAACGAATGAATGAATGAATGAATGAATGAATGAATGAATGAATGGATGGATGGATGGATGGATGGATGGATGGATGGATGGACTGATGGATGGACGGACGGACGGGACGGATGGATGGATGGATGGACGGACGGATGAACGAATAGATGGATGAGTGTAGAAGCGGTTTGGAGCAGCGTGAAAAGTTTGGTTTCCCAAACTTGAGGTCGGGGTTTCAATCCCTCGCTGTGCATTTCGCTTGTGTCCTTGAGCAAGACACTTTAACTGCATCGCTTCTCTCCACCCAGGAGTATAAATGGGTACCTGGTTGGGTTGCTTGCTCCTGCGCTGAATACAGCATCAACACTTAAGCATGTGGATCCAATGACCCAGGGACAGAAGCCTCGTATCTGCAAAGAAAGGCGTTATATAAATATATGAATATGAATATTAGTGGCTGAGTGAATTAATGAATGAATGAATGAATCAATTAATTAATAGATGAATAAATGAAGGAATTAGGCCTATTTAATGAATGAATTAATTGGTTATTTAATTAATTAATTGTCGAATGAATAATAAATGAATTATTACTATAGAAGGATGCGTGGATGGACGGATGGATGGGTGTATGTATTTTTTTAAAGTTCTTTTATGTAGAAAGTGCTTAGAAGCATTGTTTTGCATTAAGCGCTCTATAAGGCTAACATTATTATTATTATTATTATTATTATTATTATTATTATTATTATTAAATATTAATGTAATGTTGTAGCAGTTGTTATTTGTATTTTTGTATATAGACATATTATTATCTTAATATCTCTTTCATATACCTTGTTGTTGGCATTATTGCCATTGAAATAAGAGGAAATTATCATTAATAATTTCATCACAAAATGTGATTTATAATGCCTTCTCACTACGGACACACATACCACTCCACCCTGTAACTACCGTCTGTTATTATTAACTTCCTAATAACTGTTTTAAAGTATATCTATTAGGTGTATATTTATTAAATAATTTAATAACTACCTTATTGCTTTCGTCTGAAAATGTATATCAATTAAATGAGAATATCGTGACTATTATTACCCAGTGTATGCCAATTCCGAGTAGTCGAAACAAAGAGGGCGCACTGCTAATATTCCTCAATTCGATTGGCAATCAGATTTATTCAACTCTTATGTAACACTGTCAATAATATTGAACATTAACAGTAAATTAATACTGAGGGTCATAGATAGAGAATGCATAAAACTATAAAATCATTCTATCAACAACCAAAAACTGGCTGTATTGTTGTAAGTATTGTTGAAACTCGTTGTCTTACGAGGAATCTGCGCACATGAGCAGCAAAAACTGGGATCAATGAGTGTTGTATTTTTTTTCCCAAATCACTCATTATTCATTTTAAAAAAATGTCGGTTGAAGAATCTGTCTGTTTGTAGCATACAGTACTAACACTCGGGTGGGGGCAAGGGTGTTATACAAATTGATATAGGTCATATTTAATTTTTCCCTGTAATATACATACCGTTTGTAATATTTTACTCTGTAAAATGTCAGAGGCTTACGAAACTAACAAAAGCAAAATTGTATAGCTGGCTAACAGATCAGCACGCTGATAGTGTTACTGCAAGAAACCCATTTTACCCCCGATATGAGTAACTCGATTAGTCTCTTATGGAAAGAAGAACTATTTCACTCATATGGTAGCTCAAATAGTAGAGGTACTGCAATCATTATTAGAAATGGGCTGGAATATGGCTGGCCTATATAGTAGACGTTAAATCAAAAAGCGATTGGCGGAAAGTTTAGGTTAATGTAAATCTTTCGAATAAAAGCTACACCTTTCTTTATATGCCCCCAACTTAGTCAATGAAAGATAGTTTTTTTTTTTAAAGAATTCTAAACAGTGGATAGTGGATAATGTACAACAGGGTATTAATATAATTATAGGAGGTGATTTCAAGTGCATTCTGGACCATACTATGGATCACAATTGTAAAGGCCAACTCAGACAGCGTCGGCCGATTTATCGTCGGGGACAGTCTACCCCCGACGCACACCATCACGTCTGCGTTTAACTCACACAGACCCGACGCGACAACAAATCGCGTCGGGCTGCGTCGTACGACGCTGTCTGAGTTGGCCTTAAGAGAATATGAGTTCCTTTCATTCTTTTAACGTGTCTGACGTCACGATTGAAAGATTGTGTTTCTGTAGAAAAAAAGTTCTTATGCACATCTAGATGTGTATAAGAGACAGATATATACCTTTAGATAATTGAGCAAAGCTAGCTGTATTTACTTATATTTTGTTTATAATAAGCTCTACACTTAGATAGGACTTAGGCGCATATGCAACACAATCCTTGGGTCTAAATGTTGATCCTTAACGACCTAAGTAAACAGAAACCGAAGATGGACACTTTTCTACAACATTTGCTTCAGAATATGGCGGAATTTTTTGACTGTGGCAATCCTAGCTCCGAATGATTCCTCATGGATACATCTTGTAAGGAATTCTGACACGTAGTGAGATTGCTGACCGACTGGATCGTGTAACAAGCCCATTCCTACAAAAGCATTAAAACAAAAAAATAAAAGTTGTTTAAATCACTGCTATGTCACCTACTAGAGGTAATGTTTTGATTGGTTAAACACTTTTGGTACTAGTGCATATAAGCTTGCTAATATGGATAATTTTTTCATTCCTGATGATGACATAATTAATGTCGAAATATTGAATCCCAACACGATGGCGTGTATTTCAATACTTGGAGTATGTATTATACTTTCTTATCTGAGATTAATCAATGGACCTTTCGGTTTTAAACGTTATATTATACAGTAATTCTAGATTTGAGTACCGATGGAGTAAACATCCTGAAGGACGTGGAGAAAACATGACAGACCCACAGCAATGTGGAGTCTGAATTGTGTATGGGCGTGGTTTCCTGGTGTTTCATCTAGACAGCTGAAATGCAAGAAAAATAGGGCCTATAGCTCACCGTCTTTCTGAAGAGATAAACCGTTGGTCCTGTCTTCAGTATGACCGAGGTACGTTAAAGAACGCAATACCGTGTTACACTCTTCGGAGAAGAGCAGGTGCACTGCCCAATTCACCACCACAAGAACCCGACTGGAAATAAGTGTTCGGACTTTTGTGGTTTCAACACCAAAGAAAGCCATACGATACCATGAATCGCATCCATAACTACCACCGACCATATAAGTTTAGGCTTTCAAAATGTTATGCGGATTCAATAATTACCATTATATAATTTCGAAAGTGAGTTTTAGTTATAGGTCTACTGCAAAGGCTGTGAAATTAACATAATTCTAAACGTAATGTTTACAATTATGTACAATTATAATTTCCTGATGATGACATAATTATTGTCGAAATATTATATGGCGTGCATTTCGATACTTGGAGTACCGTATGTACGGTATTATACTATCTTATCTGAGATTAATCAGTGGACATTTCGGTGTAAAAGTAATTGTAAAGAAATTCTTATTACAGACATCATGATCCAAACGTAATATTCGAAGGCCTACCTTCTATATTCTTGTCTTGCTCTTCTTTTCGATCATTTTCATCAGACAGAATGTTCGTGCATGCTATTAGGAACATAACATGGCTGTAAGGTCGGAACGTAGGTTCTTTGCAAAGAGATTTTAATTCAAAGATTTCAGAAAGACATTTGTCATTACAAGCACTAACAGGTGGTTCATATTCATCGGCATCTGAAATTTTTTTTTAATGGAAAATACGAGTATGACTATTTAAATAACGACGATCATAAATAATATAATAAATTGTAATTGACACTTTCCTTAAGGTAAGCATGTGGTCCTCATCCTTTTCAAAAATATTTCAAACTGGGTTATGTCTTTTCCATCGTTTGTTCTGAAAACACTTTTTTTTTGGATGGAGTCTTGGAACTTGCGGTAAGCAAGGAGTAAATATACCGTATCCCTGTGGAGTTATATGTATCTGTTGGTCATGCATTTGTATCTTTCTATCATATTATCTTTAGCTTCTACATTTCATAAACATATTGAGTTTATCTCAACCTGACCATTTTTTTTTTTACATTTTAAAATGTACCTAAACACAACATTTTATTGTTTTTGTGTATATTTTAATTAAGGAAAAACATCAAATCCTTAACACTCTGCAGGTAGGACCTGTTAAACGGCAAAGTGCAATACTATTCTTATTATACTGATATACATCAAGTGAAAGATACAACAGGAAATTATTTCAACAACAATTAAATCCATACTGAAAATTTATAATGAAAATATTTTATTGGTAAGAATATCCCAATTTGGTAGGAAGAATGAGTATTGCAAAGTGGATCCAAAATTACAAGCGGTACTCAGTGGCGTAGCTACAGACAGTAGCCAGTGCATATCACTGGGGCCCAGGGCTATTCGGGGCCCATTCAAAAATAGACTTAAAATAATAATTTAAAATAATTTCTAACTTAATTTTTGAAGAAAAAAACGGCCAGCGGTCCCCTCAATATTATTCGGTTTTTAGAGAAGTAGCTATTGATTACTTTGTTGATTTCAATTCAATGGAGTATTCAAGGCCCGACCCCCTTATTTTTTCAAAATTATAACGAAAAATGGGAAAAAGGGAAATTATATTCATTCTATTATAAGTCCGAGAGAGCCATTTCCTGCCATATAGAGGTGTTTTCTTACCCCAGCCTCAACCATGATGAGGCTGAGGTATACATTCTCCGCCTGTGAAAATCCCTCCCTGACTTCTTTATTTTGAATTCCCAGATCCGCCACTGCAAAAGTTTGCGTGCCACCAATTTTCTTGATTAGTAGTTTAGAACAGTTGCTGAGACCGAATATGCCGCTCTTAAAATAGTTACAAATCTGATTATCATTAGTATTATTACTTACCTAGGCCTTTAGAAGTAGGGGGTAAAAGAAACAATTAGGGAGAACTTTAGGGAATTCCCCTATTACACCAAAGGGCCCGGCAGTAATTCTTGCACTGGGGCTCTTTCGTATCCAGCTACGCCACTGGCGGTACTGCTACCCTAATTACACAGTGCAGTGTTGGAAACACTGGCAAATTACTAACTTTGGCCAGATCCTATTTAACACCTATAGTGAAAAATATAACCATTAGCTATTCTGACGTGAAATAGGCCTACAACTAATATTCCAGGCCCGTACGCAGGATTTTTATTGGGTGGGTGCGAATTTGTAGAAAGTGGACCAAAATGTTGCCGGGGGTGGGAGGGGGGCGTTTAGTTTGAAACATCCTGCAGGGATGAAGGGGGAGGAGCTCAGACATTTTTGATAATTTGAGGTCTTTATTTAATCGATTTTTGAAGATGCATGTCTTAAACGGTTTTCAGTGGCGGATGCAATTTGAAGAGGGGGTCCAGGGAGGGACTCTCACATATGGTGGAGATACCACCTCAGCCTCACCATAGTTGGGGCTGAGGCAAGTATTATTATGGCACCTTGGTAATTTGGGGCGGGGCGGTGCGTACGCAACCGTCGCACCCCCCATTCCCTGTGTACAAGCCTGTATTTTCATCCGTAAGAAAAATTAAATTATACTGAATTTCTTCAATTATTTTTTTATGAAATGTGAGTTGAGCCAGAGGTACCCACAGTTCTTTTTGGCATATCACCATACACTTTTACCGTCATTCAAGGGTTTTTTGTTAATTCTGCTACACACATGGAAATAATTTAACTAACGTTTTTTAACATTAATAAGTTATTTGAAACTGACTACGAAGTAAGTGAAAAAAGAAGTTACCTTTATTTACAACTTTCTGGTCCGACTTTTCAAATAATTTTTAAACGTCTAAGAGATAAATGATATAATAATCCGGAACACTTCTATAACAAGGACGGACTATATAAGGGACAACTACCTATTTATTTATTAGATTTATATAGAGTTCAAAGAAAGCACCACAGTTAGACCTGTGGGATGGGTGAGGAGTAGCAACAGTTTATGGTAAAGTGTACTTACTTGTTTGTGTTTTATCAATGATCACTAAATCATCAATATTTTTCAAGACAAGTTGACCGTTGGATGTAACATAAAAGCTGTTGAAATCAAATTTCAGAATAATTAATTCCCACTCGGAGCTGGAATTTATAAGATGATCTATCAAATCAAGTAGTTGAATGGCAAGTCGCACTCTAGTTTTCCACGGTGACAAGAGAAACTTGTAGAGGGGTAAGCCGTCGTTGCCAATCACAAATCCTCTGCCACATACACCATAAAAAGCAGGAAGAAAATTCACCATACCCGCTGCATAATGTTCTATAAACTAAACGTACAAAATGTCCATTGCACAAATAAAATGGAAATTCTTTTTTCCACTGGCAAAAACATGAAACCATATTGTACATAATACCGTATCAACATTAAAATATCAAAGTAAAAACATCAAAAGAACCATAAATAATACAAATTGTGTCTTGTCTCTTATACAAAGTAAAATTAAACGTTCAGCTTACATGTTATTTGATATATTTGCATGTATATCATTCAAAATTCCATTGTGTACACTTTGCATCGATAAAACGGAGTTTCCTTTAAAAGGTTGAAATGGAAAATGCTTCTTAAATGTTTCTTCATTTCCAAATAGTTTATTAACCAAGTCATCGAATTCTCGATATGGTTTACTATTTCCAAAGTTGGTCAAAGTCACGGAGTTACCTTTCCATGTTCCTTTAATTTCTACAAGTGTGTTTGAATGTCTTCCTCTTTGTTCTCCTTCGAAATGTTCAGATATTTCTTCACATTGATCTTTTCCGAAACATACTGGGCAGAATTGCGTATCCAAAGAAATTACTCGGCTGGAGCTTTTCCTGTCTATCTCCTCAAGTTGAGATACTTTTCTAACCCGTACTCTACTTGAACTATCATCCTCAAAGATTGACGATGGATTATCAAAGCATTCAATAACTTCATACACTTCTTCAACATAATTTACCTCCACGATTTCTTCATTCGACTCAATTTCTTTAATTTCATCTTTCAATTTTGGTAGAGTAACTTTGTCATGAGCAAGTTTTATAAAGTCCGCTTTATTGGCTAATATCGCTCTCCTAGCTTGTGATCTCGCTAAATTAGTTAATCTCAATGAAGTTAAAATCACAAGTACAAACAATAGAAATAACACTTTAGGAATATTTTTAATGATTTTAAGTCGAATTCTAGAGCGAACAGCTCCGGCGAATCTGTGAGCTGGCATTTCATGAATGTGATCCAAACGACGGGTTTGTAGCGTCTTTGCACGTCAACAATTTATCAGCCCGACTCAACAAAACCTTGTTATGAGAAAATAATTGATAATATAACATACAATAATTTTAAAAAGTTAATCACGATACCGCAATAAACAAACAATAGAAACACATAATTAATTGAAAGATCATGAGGAGGGCATCTGACTGAGTGAAGACTGTAGCAGAAGCAGCAGCTTTTTATATTGTATTATTAACGTTCTTCAATTCGATAATGGCTATGTTCTCACACGACTGCTAACGGTTAGCAGGATCTTGATCCTGCTAACCGTTAGCTGCCGTGCGTCCATACGAGAAAATCCCGATCCGAATACCAAATATATGATGATCGATTCACTGGCCAATAAGAAACTGGAAATTGTAAACGCGTACGTGTGATTGGTTGATGATAAAAACGTGCTCAACTGCTAACCGATAGCGCTTGCTAGCCGTTAGCGGTATCCGGATACCGATAACGGTTAGCGCTAACCGATCGGGCGTTCTCACGCAGGTGCTGACGGTTAGCGTTAACGGTTAGCTCCCGATCCGGATACTAGGTTCTCTCTCGTGAGAACCAGACTAAATCGTATAAAATACCGGAATTGTGTGCTGTGCCGATAAATGGGCATGATAACGTCATATTTGTATTTTTTGTTTTGTTCTTGTTTTTACTCTATTGCATAATTACACATTGTAGCCTATTTATCCAATCTAAACTATTTTTGAGATTTAAATTAATGGTACGTATATGGATGATGATAATGACGACACGCTTGGTTGATTGATAGATAACTTCAACAGAGTGCTCGATTTAAATACTATTACTATACACTATAATTATATATTCATAAGCTTATATTTGGGGTTATAAACTTAAAATGGTGCACTGGTATCTAATGCTTCTCTGTTAGAATAAAGGGTGGATAATTTGTCTTTGTCTAAGTAAAGAATCGAAGAACCTCACCTTATTATTTGTATTATCTTGGATGAATGTGCTTACGTTTGAACCTGATGCAACCGGGCGCCATTAGGCCTACACTATTCCAACAAGAGTCAGACGCGTAAAGAAGAGAAAGTAGGCCTACAATAAAAAAAAAAATAATCAAGCACTCATTGAAGGCGATGAGTAATAAAAATGAGTCGTTCTTTTATAATTGTTTAAAATAAATATAAACAAAAACCAAACGCTTTTAACGTTAAGCCTTCATTAATACGGTTTTGTGTCAGATAATACGAATCACAAAGACTCCATTTAGAACGGATATGGATTTCCTTACAAAAACAAACACTCTGGAAAACCGGTTTTTATTGAAGGAGTCGATAAACCACATTCGAATTTCAAAACACTGAATTCTTTTATCATGGCTTACGTGTTTCCAGAAGTAATTTTAGCATGAGAACCGACCGAGTATGTATAAACTACGGTACTAAATTAAAATTAGTATTTTGGGAATCTTTTCGCTTCAGGATACATTAAGATAAGTTCTAAATTACGCGTTTGATATTAAATAGGCCTAGTTATTAATTAAGTAATAAATCATAAACACAATTAAACATGTAAAAATGCTGTGTACTGTACCTGTCTCTTATACACATCTAGATGTGTATAAGAGACAGCTGTAGC